CCCCCCCCCCCCCCCCAAAAAAAAAGAAAGAAAGAAAAAAAGAAAAAAATCCCAACATGACTACCGTTGTATCTGTTTTAATTATGTAGAAACCATGGGTTTCATATGGGTAATTGGATTAAGGGCTTCAATGTTTGAGGTTAATAACTTTTTATAGTTACATATGCCTAAAATAGTTCAGGAAAAGATAAGAGTAAAACAGATGTTCAGTAACTTTAAGGTCATTTAGACAGAAGGAATGTTACGTGGGGACTCCAGTAGAGTGTTTTCTTAAGTACGTGTAATTGAAGCACAATGAGTGAACAATTTAAAATACAATTTTTATTACTTTTCATTTAATTGAAAATCTGTGCAATAAGCCAGGATTTCACACAGTAATTAACGAAAGATGCAGCTTTGCAGGAGGGTGGAGTTATACTGCAATAATTACGCCCTTAAGGGAAATAGGAGTTAACAGAAAACTGTTGCTATGGTAACTGAAAAAGAGTTTGTGTGGAGCCAGGTAGGATGAGTTTCTCACTGAAACTAGAGATTGCTGTAGAAAGTCTTGTCAATTTGAGCAGTAATGTCAAGAGACACAGTGACGCGTGGGATTTAGTTTTTAATTTTGTTCTTTGGATTACACCCTACAACACCATAGCATTTCAAGGTGTGCATAATATGATATGATAGACATGCATAAGGGGCTGATTGCAAGTGCAAATGTATATAATTGTTCTTTATTTTGTTGTTATTATTAGTCGCTCTGTGTTTGCAATATAATGCTAGCAGTCAGGATCTTCTTGTGCTGTTTCCTGCATTCACTTGGAGAAAGACATACCTTTACAATGGAATTTAGTGCTGGAGAAGATAATCTCTGTTTCCATTCAAGAGTATAATTTAGTCCAAGTCAAGCAACAAGTCAGCCACCCTATCTTTTGCCTTTCTTTCCCACTTCTTGTCACTTCTTTTTGTTTGCTGTGATGGATGATGGTGGGTAATAAGAGTGCTTTCTGCAGATCTTGTTAGAAGCATCATTAAACTATGTGCTGGTAATGAGAGAGATTTTGTTCTGTAGCCTTGCCGCATTGGCTTTTGATCTCCTCAGCAAGCGTGATTCACAAGATAAGCAGGGTTGGGCCGGATTAGTACTTGGATGGGAACATTCCCAGAAAAGCTAAGAACTGTGTTAATGATTCAACAAGTGACACAGTTTTCTTTGAAGCAGAAGAGTGCCTGAGCATTGTGTAAGGGCAGGGGATATGTTACTGATGAGAGACAAAATGGACTTCCTAGGCAAAGTGTCCCTTTAAAAAATCCTATTATTTATTATTTTACTGCATGAAAGTACACATGAAATTCCTTTGCTGCCATGGAAACATTTAAAAGTCCTTGAAGCAAATGTCCTGCCAGTATAACCCAATCCTGTCTATATATTTGTGCCCCTACCAGTTGGGCCTATCATAAGACTTTAGTGAGGTGATTCAGCCTAAACTTAATTGACTCATTATACATCAAAAATGTATGCATGGGGATAATCTTTAGATTTCCTCCAAGTCTTCTGCCACAGAAGTGGAGCCCAGTTCCTTATTTCTTTCCACTGTCAGTATCATTTTATCTCAGTTTGTAAGCCACTGCAAGCAAGAAGCCTAGACATAGACATTTCTTTTTAAATGAAATGTAATCTCTTCTTAACATTTATAGGATCCCCAGGTCTGGAGCCCCTTAGCTGCAGGCTTTGCAAGACCATAAAGTCTACGTTTCAAGTGGCTTAAATTAAATATCATATTTTTTGCTATGTCCACACAGTGCATAGTGAGGTGATTAATGTATATTAATATACTTGGGGATGTATTACATTATATAGGTATATTAAACTGTATTGTTGCCATGTTATCTGAGCATGTATACAGTTTGAATGGAACCGGCTTAATCAGTTCAGTGATTTCCATATTAAGCAAGAGAACCAGGTTGAAAACAGGTCAAAATCTCATATATGATTTATGAGTTTTTAACATGTTTGGGTGTATTACTCTGAGTATTTGGCACTAGAGAGAAGTCTCAAATTTCCCTTGCCCTTGTGTTCTGTCACAAAAGCGAAAAGCCCCAGTGGTATGAGACTAGACACAAGCAATTTTGTACTGAGGAAGTGCAGTCAGCATTGCCCTGAAAAACTTCCAGCGTTTGCTGAAAAACCCCGAAATTTTTTGTTTGGCCAAGGCAGAATTTTGCATTAATTCAGAGCTTACTTGCAGAGGTGTAGCCAGCTGTTTCAGCACTCCAGGCAGAGGTGGTGGGTGGGGAGAGGGAAATATGCTGAGTGGGGAGGGGAGTACCACTGTCACTCCAGTGGAAGCTGATTCTGCTAAAGCTATGGGTGTAGCAGCATGGGTTTGCGTTGCTTCTCCTGGGGAAATGGCAGCTAGTGAAGTAATCTACCTGGGCTAAAATACTATGCCAACTAGCCTGGGTGGAATGCTGTACTGCATGGCAATAGTGCTTCTGATACCTGGGGTAGCTCAGTACAGACAGTCAAGAAGCCCGAGACTGAATTGATTCAGTCTCTGCAGGTTAATTTAAGGTGCAGAGATTAAATTGAAACAGAAGTGAATAGACTTTTACCTTTGATTCAGGAAATGCTGCCACATTTCTTCAGTGGCTCAGGTCAGAAGCTGGGGAATACTAGAGCATGGCTCTCTGGCTGCGTGTTCACTTCCTCTTTTTGCTGCCCCTGAAGTCTCTGGAATTTGCAGTCCACAATCACAGCTGCAGGGTTGCTTATCACTTCTTCCTGCTTCCAGGTGCTTCTGGGATTTGTAGTCCACAGTTGCAGCAAGCAGTAATTTTGAGCAGGGGAAGGGGTATTTGACATCCCCCCCACCTCCTGGCCCAAGCCCCAAGCTGGGGTTTGCTGGGGGGGGGGCAGCCCCTTCCCCCACAGACTGGGCTGCATCCCCAGCTGTGCTTGCCCCCACACCAGCCCTCACTGCTCCAGCTAGGAAGCAGAGGGGTGAGGCCAGTCCTGCTCTCTGGAGCAGACAGCATAGCCCAGTCCAGGGCTGAAAAGCATGTTGGGATGCTGGGGGACTGTGACTTAACTTGAACCAGGAAGGGGTTTGGGACAGAAGTTTCGTAAACCAGTTTGACCCAAATCAGTTAAGTCTGATACTACATTCAACCA